GGACTTATCAGGTCTACTCATTGCCTCCTACTCCATAAAAAACAAATCAAAGAGCAAATAGAATAGGTTTTCGATGGAGCGTTTCTAAAACCTTGTCTGTCTAAATACACAGACCCGCCTGTTCTCACGGTGATCATCGAACGCTGTCGGAGCTAATATCGATACACAGACATCCACTTAATTCTTAGATGTAATTGAAAATATCTCTAGAAATTTCCAATGATTTTGTCACATTAACCGCAAGCATTTTAAATTTAGAAAACAACATTTTCTGAAAATTAGACTGTATTTCTAAATGAGTCGAAACAAAATTCGATTTGTTAACTTTCGTGTAACGTGCCAAAGTTTATACAAGTTGTATACCTAAGTAACTTGTCGTCATATCGTGGTCGGAATACATGCTCTGCACCCTGCTACCAATAGCAACTTTACTGTTAACAACTTAAAGTCTACTTTTAATCTGTTTAATTCAATAAATCAGTTGATATTAAGAAATTTGAGAAACATCGATAAAAATAGTTACTTGTCGTATCCAGTGCTCATTTTTATGTTATGTTTATTTTGCTTTTTAAATAACACCGTATAAATAATTAGTACCACTTGTATTAAGTTATCTTCATAATTACTTTCTTCTTCAGAAATTAGCTTCTGTTTACTTACCTAATCTGTAAACAAAAGCTAAAACAGTTTTACGAAAATGCATATAGCCGTAAGTATAATCATCATCATCAACAGCCTTTAATAGTCCACTGCTGGACATAGGCCTCTCCTCAGAGAGGAGGTTTTGGCCTATACTATACCACGCTGGCCAGAGGGGTTGGTATAGGGTTTGTGTCAAGTTTTCCTTCTCTCTGCAGTTTAATAATATAATAATATTTACGAATTTATTTATGAGTTATGACTGCCTCGGTGGTGTGGTACAGTGGTGCTGAGGTCTCGGGTTCTGTCCAAATGTTTGTATGATCTTCAAATATTTGTCTCGGAGTTTGTTAGTTTTCTATAATATGTAGATATATATATGAAAAGGCATATAAGTATTCTATCAGTCAATCTTGCTTTTATAATACTACAAGCTCTGCTTAGTTTGAAACTAGATGACGTTGTGTGTCAGACGTACGAAAATATTATTATTATTTAGTTTAATTGAATTTCAATTCCATCGAGGGATAATATAGAACCATCTGTAGATTTTGATGGATGCGAGAAGCCCAAAATCGATGTAAGTGCCGTGCAAAGGGAGAGGCCTATGACCAGCAGTGGGCTGCGATAGGCTGATGATGATGTAGATTTTAATATTACATCTTTTTTTGCCAAGCTGGTATAGAAATGATCATCTAACAATTTTTACGAAAAATAATGCAATGAAATAGGTCTAACAATATAACAAACAAACTACATCACAGTGAATATTACATATCTATACTACATAATATTATAAAGCTGAAGAGTTTGTTTGTTTGTTTGTTTGAACGCGCTAATCTCAGGAACTACTGGTCCGATTTGAAAAATTCTTTCAGTGTTAGATAGCCCATTTATCCGCCCGAGGAAGGCTATAGGCTATATATCATCACGCTAAGAGCAATAAGAGCGGAGCACCAATGAAGAATGTTTCAAAAACGGAGAAAATTTATTACTATTGAGAGACGCAGACGAAGTTGGGTGGGTCAGCTAGTCCGCAATAAAATAAATGTTTCATAATTTTTGACGTCAGATCAGTTTTAAATTTTAAGACATTCTGCTATAATTGACATTTAGACTTTGGCAGAATTGTCGACATCGGTACAGTTTGCCACAAACAAAAAGAAATTGACATTTGGCTTTTTACAGTTTTAATTATAGCTTTTACGAGTATAATATTTAAATAGGAGTTCACATGAAAACACAATAATAACTTAACTCGCATACTTGATTGAATTTCCTATAACTTTAAAGAAACAGAAATATTTATTTGTACTTGATTTAAATGCCAAGTTCTTCTCGAAATTTCACTTTATTTCAATATAAAGCATCCAGCCTCGTCACAAAATATCATTCGAGAATTGATTTTGAATAAGCATTGTAATAAATAGATTTTTTATTATACTTATGACTGAACGCAGCCACAACTACCAATGCTTCAAAAAATTCTTTAAAACTGCGTTCAAGGTGCACTACAAACTTGAAATTTCGTTGCAAACAACTATCCCTCGAATATCTGTTTTTTTTTCAAATACTCCTCTCACAATGTTACAAAGTGAAAGAAAACTAAGAAACAAACTCAGGTTGCCATATACAATATTAGTTAGGGAGGCCAATTATAAAATACCGTCGAAAAGTGTGAAGTGAAAATACATGCGTTCTGATAAAACCAGTGCTCCAAGAACCATTCCTTTTACGCATCCATTAAAATATATAGATACTTTCAGATACTTAACTCCAGATAAAACAAAACAGGTTACAATAAAAAAACCTTTTTCCTAAATCATAAAACAAATAGAAATATCTTGCAAACAGGGATCTGCTAGATTATGTTAAATGGGTCGGCCAGTGTTTGAGATCATGATCCGGCCACTTATAAAACATAGTTCGGGCAACGGCACCATTTACCGCTGGTCACTAACAGACCGGCCCGGTTAAATCCGGTAAGTGGGGCACGGCGCTCGAATAAATCCCCATATTATTGTTATTGCCACAGAGGATCCCTAGCTCTTTTGTATACGACCGTCTCGTACCATTATAACCTGCTTTTCCGATAGTATTTTTCAATATATTTTAGTGCTGCCGAGAGATAGACCGTCATATGGTTTTATTATAGACCAATATTACAATTCTCACGCTCAAAATGGACTAAATTTATTCTTCAAATATATAAAAGTATACATAAATGTAGTGAGTTAACTTTTAGCGTATAAATTTTACTATATTACGCCTGTGCGTAAACATTCTATAAAAGTTTAGAGATCAAAAATTGACCGACACTGTACCTAACTGAGACATGAATGCTTGATACTACTCGTAAATTACACTATTTATAAAGAAATTAAAAGTTGAAATAATGGAGAAAATACCTGTGAAGATTACTCGGACTGACCGATTCTTGGGTCCAAATTAGAGTGCTTTGATGCAAAAATAAGCCACAACTAAACAGAAGAGCGACAAAACATATTGCATTTTTTGGGTTACCGGTTTAAAGGCGTGATTCTCTGAACACGTGAAGTACCTACGAGAGTTACACAACTGCACAATAACACGTTAAGAAATTTCTTTATACCCTTTATAGCACAGCAATATTATATATTTGACATACTTAACTTTTAAATTAAACAATGGTGCTAAATCTGTTGTTCGAAAACTCTCTAAACTAAACTAACTAAAAATCACTAAAAACTAGTTTAGTCCCGTTCAGTATTACTTTTTCAGAATAAGAAACGTTGTTTGACATGACAAAACTATTTTTTGTGTTTTTTAGTTTAGTTTAGAGAGTTTTCAAACAACAGAATTAACACCAATATCTGCCATAAAGTTGAAAATTGCCTGACAATCACTACATAGAGCAAACGTGCTCCAGTGTATATTTTGAGCTGTAATGGTCTATACAATGGCAGTTCAAGCTATACAGACTCTAAACGCTCAAAATTCTGCTGCCTTTCGTCAGGTGATCTCTAGTATACATTACCAGACTTACATTTTAGGAAATGTAAGTCTGGTATATAGGTATCCGTATTTTCGACAATTATGAGTAAGCTCAGTAAAACGGTTCATCGCTGTTTTTTACACATTTGAAATTTATCTTATCTACACTCAAGATTCTTCCTTATTTACTTTTTAATGTGACATCTTCAATTTCTTCTTTCCTTTCTATATCCGGGGATATTTACTATCTGTTTCACATTCCACAACATTTTGCATGTTCCACATACTCAGCCCTCCCACATTTTGCCATGCCTTTTATATAGTCGAATCAAGTATTCCCCATTTCTTTTTCTCCTTTTTATCCATCTACCTGGTTATTTTCAAATGATTTCACAGTTCCTACAATTACTAATGTAATTTTTTTTTTTACCCGTTCTGATTACTCTTTACAACTAGTTTTTCAGTGTTACAAGTTATCGGCTGCGGTATTGCCAGACGGATACGACCTTCAAACCTTCAAGAAAAGAGCGTACTCCTTCCTTAAAGGCTGGTAACGCGCTTGTGACTCCTGAGTTGCAGGCTTTTATAGGCGGCGGTAGTCGCTTTCCGTCAGGTGACTCGTCCGCTCGTTTGCCCCCTATTCCATAAAAAAAACCTGCCTAGAACAGTTTACCAAGTTTCAAATCAATTAGTTGAATAATTTAAGAATATATTTGTATGACACAATGTATGTTTTTAAAACCAAATCTTCCCAAATATACAGACAATTCTCGGTTTACTGTTAATGATGTTTTTGGTTTAGTTGCAGCAGATAAGGAAGCCTTTCAAAAAAATAAAATTAAACTAAAAGATGTTTTATTTATTAACACGAACATAACGATTGGGACAAACTAATTAATTTTGGATGGTAAAAACATTATCTTATTGGAATGAAGAAAAACGTGGTTTTACTATGTGATATTAAACTCGACTTGGGTTTTCAAAAATGTATAATAATGTGTTTATTTTGATTAACGTTGAATATTCACTGCTGCATATAAGCCCTCTCTCGAGAAGGAAAACATGAAACAAACCCTCAAGTCAAGCAAAACCCATGTGAAACCAATATATTTTAACAATGTTTAACTCCAAAATTTTATTTCAATCTTAATTTTTTTGTTGTGTTTAATAATGTGTCGTTTATAAACTTACAATATTCAAATAAACATACACATTAAATTATGTTACTGGCGTAAGTATTTTAAGGTGCAGTCGATACTTTTGCTTTCTGCGTCCTTTTGTTTTAGACAATACGCACAACTTGTTCCCTTTTAAACCCAGACATTTTACTTAAACATATTTTGTTCAACATGCCAAACTGTATTAATCCAAATCAATTTTTACCTCGATTACTTTTTCTTTTTAGCCTCTTCAGCTAATTTCTTAGCGAGAGAAGCTGGCATTTCTGGAGGAGGTGGACGTGGCATACCCGTATACACTTTGAAAGCATCGTAAACGAACCACTGCAGACCGGTGAGCGTCCCAATCATGATGATACGCGCCACCAGACCGCGCCAGATTCCAACCATTCCAACCTCTGATATGATGCCGCCGATAGATGCGCTTGGATCCTTGTTCAACTTAGATACTATCGTGTCAGAGGGATGTGACACAATAGCACAGAGCACGCCTGCTATGTATCCTGCCGTGAACGTCACTATCAGTTGTTCGGCCTTCGTGCATTCGGCCCTCGGTTTTGGCACCACATTGTCATATAAGTATTCTACAGTTTTCTCGAATGATGAAAACTTCATCATAGTATATGGAACTTGTCTTCCCCAAAGCGGTGGCAATCCTTTATAAAACACGCCTATGCCCTCAGTATTAAGCATGTGTGGCATTGCTTTCCTCATCTGAGAAGTGTAGCCGGGAGTTGTTTGCATACGCACTTTAGTAGCCTCAAAAGGTGCTAAAAAACAGTCAGCGATGAACTCAGCTGACGCAGATGCCGCCAAGTATAGGTAGGTTCTGTACAAAAAGGCATTATCTTCAGACACCATTTTGGCATACAGATATTTAAAGTATTCATAACCCGCGAACTTAGCACAGCCTTGCAGCGAGTAACCAATCAAAGTTGGCGCCCATCCTTTAACAAGATTGCGGACGCCACCTTCTTTGAAAGAAACGCCAAACCCTGTGAAGATAGATTTGTACTTGAGTGGATCCACCTGCAGGCGACACTTGACCAGGTCGAGCGGTGTGACTGCCGTATGAGTGGAACCGCAAGCTAACGCACCGCCTACAGCACACAGTATAAAGAATCTGTTGCTGTACATTTCACAGGAGAACTTCTCTTCCGTTTTTTTCGACATTTTGAAATTCTTTAATTATATCTACGTTCTTAAATTATATTTATGGATGTTGTTATAATTGTGTAGATAACTGAACTGTAAATATATAATCAAGGCATCATTACTTTTTGTAGACTTCGTTATGCAAACCGATAAGTAACTGACGTGTTTGACGTAAATATCACAAACAATTTCTTTTTCTGGTTTATGTCAATTTATGGTTCTTGATCATGGTTAACTTCAGATAAGAAAAAAAGGATATTCAAAATACACAGAATACACAAAATATCACTCTTCTTGACAAAGAAATATATATCGTATCGTATAATATATAGCGTCGGGATAGAAACTGGTTGACTGTCTTCAAAATACACACATTGGTAAACGCCTATCTGTGTTTATTGAAACTCTACCCTTTGAAGTTCATAACTACTCCATTAATGCCAGTAACTTCTTGTTTCCGCATTTCTTCTTGCTTCTTAAACGTAGGCCGCCTTAACTGGAGCTATAACACCGCCCCACAGAAAACCAGACAGCACAGAAAAATTTATGCGTTGCTTTACACCGACAGTGATTTCATCGGAGTAACCAGCTCCTCTGCCCCCTAAATCTCACCAAACTCTGGGAAAGGAAGGGGGCATACAAAGGGCGGCACGCACTTTTTTCCTGAGTTGGAGATGTGCTTTGGTGGTTTTCACTTACTGTCAGATGATCCAACAAGTTTGACCCATCATCATAAAAAAGTAATTGCTGGCATTAATTTACTACCAAGGAGCTCATGGATTATGTATGATGCCCATAACTTGGTCTTTGACTAAACATCAGAGTCCACACTCGGGGTTTGCCAGCGAACCATGAAGCGCAGCTTCCGAGGAGTCTACTCAGATCGCCGATATAGGCCATAAGGCTGCAACCCTAAAATGGAACTTGGCTGATCACGTCTGCCTCATGTCAGCCGAACGGTCGGCAGTGCTCAGCACCAAGTGGCGCCGCACACAACATTAAACGACGTCGCGGCTGACCCAGAAAGAGATGGCGGAATGAACTGGATACGTTTTGACGAGATTGATGATATACAGCAGCAGTTGCAGAAAGCTTAAGCTTTTTTAACAATTTGTTGTTTTGTGGTCATCAGAGAAAATTATAAAAATAAAACAAAACTTTAAATTAAAAATGTATGTTTTAATTTACTTTTGATCCACTTCTTAAAACTAAGTTAAAATAGCTCCTAAAATATTTTTACTATCATAACTAAACATTTTATATTAATATTTGTATACACATATTTACAAAACAAACTATTACATTGTTTTTGTACTTTTTTGAGTACTACTGAAATAAGGCCAAATATCGTGATTACTTTTATAGATTAAAAGTTAGGGGTTGAAGTGTAAATAAATTAATTAATTACTATTTTTAAAGCCCTCTCCTGGTTCTGCACAGGCGTGCCAATAACGCCACATCGACAATAAATATCGATAACAATTTTGACCCCTAATCTCAACACTTAAATAGACAATGATTACTCTAAGTAATAACTAGTTATAAAAAAAGGCTTTACAGGAGAAGATCTTAAGTGATACATTAGTTCTTATTATAATAAAAATAAACTTATTCACTGACATTTCGTATTAATGGCAAATCAACTAGTGATGTCGTTAATATTATAAAAGTATCGATACAGCGGACAAACGTCAAAATCGAGAGACGTTGGGTTTATCGATAACATCGTAAACTAATATTATGCATTCAATCTCACACAAATTATTTTAATACTACCGACGAGATCGGCTCGAACCGACTCCAAGTAAACGTGCGTCTACGAATATATTGGTATCGATATAATGTGTTATCTCACGAAGACGGGTGAAATCAGTGTGCGGTAATCGATGGCTATTTGATGAGCAAATAAAACAAATGATATTGTGACTTTTACATGTCACCGAGATTTACCGTCTTCGTGAAATAGACAGTCTCTAAAAGTACTCATTATTTCAATCAATCAAAATTTTAAATAATACGTTATATTTCTTGCTTGAAAGATTTTGTTATTTGGAAACTTAACAGCTATGTTATATATTTCATGGGTGAAGTTAAACATTTCAATGGATTCTTAGCCAATAATAAAGTTTCCGACAACTAACGTAATTTTATTTATTATTATGCATAAAAGAACGCATTACTAAGTTGTATAAAATTGTAAGATTGAATTTAGTCGTGTATTTAATAGAAAATATTTATTCTCGCGCACTAAGTTTTTAGATATTTTTACTTTTACAATAAACATTAATAAATTTATTTTAACGAATACAATATAGGCAGTACCGGTAGTGATGGCAGTGGCACAACTGAGATTTATCGATGTCGATATTGCAACAAAGTACAACATTTATTTTTAATAATTTGTTATCGCAACGACACAACTGATCAAAGTTTAGTTTTATTTTAACATCGAATGAAAAATATTTGCGACTGGGTATGCACGTATTTATCGCTCGATATATTTTTTCGGGTGAATATACAAATACAATCGAGTCGATCGTGTTAAAAGTACAAAAATCGTTAAACAATCGGCGGATCTATTCAAAGAGCACACAGAGTAGAAGATGGCTGACGATCGAACGCCGTATGAGTACCGAAAAATTACGCATTTGGGTTTTTAGAACGAAGTTTCTCGTCACGCGTTACACTCTCCGAGCGGACGGGAGTGAGACCGAAAAAGTGTAACAAGACTTTTTTCCGACACTATAGCAAACGTCTACCAAAAAGCGAAAGAAACTTTGTTCCGACCCCGTTTTTTTATATTTGGACTGAATGTGAAAGAGTATGTCAACGGTAGTTAGAGAAGGTCCTCCCGTGAGCACGTGTGAGCGTCCCCGCTAGCGGCGCGGGGGGGCGGGCGCCACGCGCAGCCACACGTAGAGGCGCAGCGGCGCCGGCGCCACGTGGTCCCGCGCGGCGCGCCGCCCCCGCCCCGCGCCCCGACCCGCGCCCCGCGCCGGGGGGCACACGAAGCGCGCCTCCAGCTCCAGCTGCCGCTCCAACACATCCTGTCCAACCACACACCATATTGATCTGACATTTCGTCTTAATTTTTTTTTTAAATCAGCACACTATCCCCGAACTCAACTTATAAATCACCATTTTACTGATTAAGTTTTAAAAAGTTTTATTTATATTATTTTTTAATAAGTTTTAAAAAGACCCACAATTACCTCCCCTTTTTGTATCACTAAACACTGAAGGTGTTCTTTTTTTCCCAAAAAAAAACAACGCCCACATTAAGAATATATCTGTGTCACGGGGGACTTTACAAACAAACATGAAAAGGAGACAAAGAACACCCAGACTCAGGACAACAGCTTGTAGATCACACAGTGTCGTCCCATGTGGGGTTTGAACCCACAACACTCAGCGTAGTAGGAAGCGGCGTGGCGACCACTTAAACCACTACGCCATCCGTGCAAGTCGTAATTATCGCAGTGATTAGTAATAATATGCAACAATAATACAACAACTGTCTTTGAATCTAAAATCTTTTCTGAACACTTGCCTGACTCTTTAGATGTCTTCTAAGTCTGAGAGCAGTAGCACCATCTCTCTTGGATAACACGAAGTCATTGTTGGGATCTCCATACGCGATTCGGTAGTGAGCCCGCGCTTTGCCCTCCGCTGGAACTAGTCTCAGTAAGGGAGCTCTGCCCCACGTTTGTTTTGGGTGAGCTGATACAACGATTAATTCCGCTTCGGGCTCCAGGATTGAACGACGACCTGGCACAAAAGAACATGTTAATTAAACAATGAACGGAGTATTCCGAGGGCGGAGACAGTTTTGTAACTTTAGACAAGGGAAAACTTTATAAATTACTTTATCAAAGAGTTTGAAAGGAATTTTAATAAAAATAAGACAATAATTTCCAAAGATAATAATTTCTCTCATCTTCGATTTCCAAAAAGAGCCCGTTTAGTGTTATTTATTTAACTCAGTGCAAAAATTGTACAAAGGCGGACTTAATGCCCATGGCATTCTCTGCTCTCTTAAAAATGATGCTGTAGGTGCAAGAGAAAACAGAGAATTGGACTTTTTTATATTAAATTTATTAATATAAGATAAATCTAACTTACATATATACACTATATACTATAAATAAAATACTATTACTTACATGTGAAGAACCAAATTAACCGACAGACTATTTTTGGATAAATGCGTGACTATATCTAGAATAAGGTTAGAAAATCTCTAAAATATAAAAGAACTGAAAAGGAAACCTACAAACCAATAAGTAAGACACCTTTGGTTTCGAACTCCATCAATTTTTTAAATCTCATGAAGAAGTTTTGCTTCAAGCCAAGGGCCTATAGAGAGTTGGTAACTTAAATTTTGCTTTTGATATCAAGGTATACTTACGTCGGCTGCGCCTCCTTCGTTTCCTGACTATGGTAGTTCCATTTGCAAACACTATGGCTTCATCAGGTGCTCTTCGCCTGCGACCGTTCACCTACAACCAACATGTCACGTGTAAGCTCACGACGGTTTAAATGCTGCTGGGAATTCTTGCAATGCTCAAAAATACTACTATGGTTTAAAAAATTGTGCATGTCTTTCATTCTGCACAAACTTGAAACTGTTTAAAAGCTTAGAATTTACAGTAATTAGTAATTAATATTACGGCGAATCTACGAGAGGAATAGTGTTCATGTAGTAGTGTCTCTCTTTAATAAATACAGATGCTCGTTGCAAGTATTTTGTCAAGAGGGTGCGGAGAAGAACTATTTTATATGTGTGATATCTTTCCTCTTGCTTTTCTGCAATCTGTGAGAGTAATTTCGTGAGAAAGGGACGGAAGTATGTAACAGACAGCCAGAAAGGAATATATGTAACCAATGAGCACATAAATCTATAAAACTGTAATCGATTAGTACATACTAAGAAATGACATCTTAAGAATCTGATATCTTAGTGATCGATGTCTTTGACCCCATCGCTATAGTTCAATCTGTCAGAACTGTCAATCGATCCCTCTTAGATTAGATGGACTACAACTAGCCATATTTTTCCTTCACTAAGATTAACTTACTTCAAAGTTCTAATTTAGAAAGAAGGAATAAAATAAAATCTCCAGCATAGCCTGGCACACGGATTCTAAGGTAATAAATGGTAGAGATACCTTCATTATATGCAAAAGGTCAACCATTAATGGGCTGTGAGTGCTACTGGGATGGTTTTAAGCTGGTGAAGGTAGATGAAGCTATCAAATCAAAGCATCTCATCCCAACCAAAAATAAATGGTTGGTCATAATTAAATATATCAGCTTGATTCACGAAAAAAACTCTTACACACCTTGCAAGAGAAGCATCCCTCAGTGGATATAAGTTCATTTTCCCCTCCTATTTTATACTGGTCTTGCACGGGGAAGACTGGTGCATCTCCAATGTCATCTGGTGATAACGCAGCATCTAGTGCTGTAAGACAATGTCCAGCCCCGACGAGTTGGTAGCCAGCTGGACACCCACACTGATACGAAGAACCGAAGGGTGAACAGCCGTAGAGGCAACTTGCCGTCGCGCAGCCACCAGCCAACTATTAAGAATTACATACATATAACACTTATAGCATGACAAATTAGTATACATTAGGTTCATTTATTTTAGTTAAACAGACGACTATAAAATATTAACCAAAACTCTTGGCAAATGAGATTGGAAAAAGAGCAACAAGAGAAAGATAAAAGAAAAAGTCTTTGAACTCTTTTGTTTGTCTTTTGATTACTTTTGAAAGTCTTTGAACTCTTTTGTTTGTCTTTTGATTATTTTGAAAGTCTTTGAACTCTTTTGTTTGTCTTTTGATTACTTTTGAAATTCTTTGAATTTGCATGTGTGGCAATAATTTTGGTGAAATTCTAACACTCACTACGACACTTCTTAGACTAGACTAATATAAATTGTGACTGTGACAGTAACATGCAATTACAAGGCTTAGTAGTATTGTAAATTCTTCAATCTACATATATCATTTTGATAAATTTACTGTTAAAAATCATGTTTTCCCATGTAGTTCTAAATGGTCTAGTTCATCTAAGGGTTGCCTGTAAGAAAATGCGGACTGCGATAGGGCTGCCCATCGTACTACTGTTTTCTTTATTATATTCTACACTTAATGTTTTCTATGATTGTCCAATTCTATTTATCTTCCAATAACATGAACAACATTGAACTGAGTACTAATAGTAACGGTGTCGAGCCCCGCAGGGTTCTCTATGAAGGGAGCAACCTATCGCGTTTGTTAATCTAATTGGATAGAGTAGTATTCGAGTAGCGCACGCACCTGCAGGCAGACGGCGTGCGGCGCGTCCCAGCCGTAGCCGGCGGGACAGCCGCAGCGGTAGGCGCTGCCCACGGCGAAGCACGGCGACGCGCCGCACGGCGCCGCCGCGCACGCGTCCTGCGCCACGCACGCGCCGCTCGCCGCCCGCACCGTGCCTGCGACACACCACAATTTTCAGATTCCTCCGGAAAAACTGTTTTATCCAAAACTGTCTTTGCCCAATTTTTTTTTAAAGACCGAAATGTCTAGTATTCCGTTAACCCCTCCCGCTTATCTAAATTGCTTGTGTTAGGTGTGGGATCACGTCGGTAGTGTACTGGTCAGGATTCGAACCCACGACCTCTTGATCGCAAGTCCAATGCCTTAACCACTAGGCTACCGCCGCTTTCAAGGCCAACTATATATTCACCATAGGTTACTTTGTAGAATGTAAAATAATCAAAACTATAAAGAATAAATAATAAAGAGTTGCGTATAGTAGTAGTAATAGGTGTGGAACATATGAAAGCAACCTATTGTTGCAATAACATTATGTTGATCCAATTATCAATAATTTTAAAACAATAAACCAATAATGTCTTCTAGAGAAAGGCAATTCCGTCACTTATGCCCGAATATGTTTGTACCCGAGGAACATCAACAGCTTTCGTAAAATTTTTACTATCGTTGCAACGTGTTCGAGTTAACCTTTTCAGATCATTTGTTACAAATAAAGACCGTATGTCGTAATGTTATTGAACAACGATCGATGCTTATATCCCTACAACATTTCCTCGAACTTCAGTAAAGTAATATTAATAATGTCGGTATCGAAACAGTTACATATCAATAAATTATTAACATATTAAACAAGAAGCGAGAACATTGCTAATCTTCCTTACTTCAAAAATATTTCGCTACGTATTGAAAAGAAAAATCAGATAAGTGTTGGATACAAGACCAAAGTAATCAGTATTGGGTCACTAAAGCTTTGAAAAACACACATCAAGCTTTGGGTAGTAAAATATATTATAACAGCTGCTAAGATTATTAATATTATAACACCTACACATTCATATTAGTTGGTCGTACTGTATATTTATTTTATTTGTGGCTCTTCAACAAGAATATCAAAGCATTCACAAAGAATAATAAATTGTTGATCTGGTGTATCCTTAATAACAAAAGATCACAGCCTGCATTGAAAGTCAAACATAACAAATTATTATTTCACAAATTACAAGTAAATAAATCAAATCAAATTAAATCACTGTTAAATTCATTAAGTCAATTTAAACAGTTAGGTACATGGATTATTTAAAATTTAAATCAAATAAATTTATATTAAGATATAATATTAAATAATAAAATTATTTAAAAATAAAATTAATTTATATTAAATTGACGAATTTGACGAAGGAATCTTTCAATCAACATATCAAATGTTGTCTTCCATTCTCCGAAAATATAGACAGTGGTGTAGTCTCAAGTGCTTATTTTTAGTTTGCACTTTTCTACTTATCTCGTAATTAGTAACAACACCATCTTTTATGTACCCTACGAACTTTAAAGGACGAATCCTAAGGAGTATATGCACTTTCGTAACGGTACCATTTAGTTCACTTTCAGTACACAGTGGCGCCACTGTACACATTATTGTAAAAATACACGAAGAAAATTCTTTGTAGCCTTTTTTAAATAAATATGGCTCACGGATGCATTTCACATTTGGAATAAGTACATAAAAAAATAATTTTTAAACAATATGTGATGTAAAAATTATGTAAAATGGGTACAAAAATTATAGGGATCCATGTATTTTCAAAGGGAGGTCAGAGAGGTACAAAGAATGTTGAGAAAGCCTACACAACTATGGTCGAGAATTTACTTTTATTTTTTAAAAAGGCAACTCCCGCTTTAGGAATGTATATCCTGTGTCGCGGGTGACTTTACAAACATACATGAAACGGACACACAAATACTCAGAACAACAATTTGTGGATCACACAAAGTGTTGTCCCATTTAGGGGTCGAACCCATAACACTCAGCGCAGTAGGAAGCGGCATTAAGCCACTACGCCACCCGTGCAGTCGAGAAAAGCTGACGAAGAAGACGAAGATGTATTTTGTGAGTCTATACGTTGACGGTTCAAGTTATACTGGTCAATAAAACAAAACAAGACATTTGAAACAGTATAATTGGACCGCAAGTTGATAGATCAGTTTCCCTTTTTGGATGTAATGGAAGTCATTTTAACTAATAGTATGTTTGTACGAATTTTCTGATCAGATAATAAAATATCGGTGTTTCTTCTACATAAGATATATGTCTTTCTCGCTCACTTATTCTGTTGATGAAGAGAAAGAAAGAGTTTATAAATAATACCAGTACTCACCAGCAGGACAGTCACATCGGTACCCTCCAGCGTAATTCCTACAAGGTGACTGGCACCTTCCGTCTTCGCACTCGTCCCGGTCCAAGCACCTGGTGCCCTCCAGGTCCAACCTGAACCCTCGCGGGCACACGCAACGGTACGAGCCGAGGAGGTTCACACACTTGCCTGGAGGGGGACACAAGCCTTCTTCGTGACATTCGTTGACATCTGAAAAAGAAAATAATGAAAGTGAGCGTCGCGAGCGAGCAAAATATCCAGAAAACTCAGCGAGAACTGACGCTGACCTTTAAAGCTGTCTGCCTCAACAGCACACTGACCATCCAACTATTAATAATGTGTTATAAAGAAACTGGGAACCTTCTCAATGACTCACCAACACAAGCATCGCCCCTCTTCTCGTAACCATCTTGGCAGGAGCATTCATATGACCCTTCGGTATTGGAACATGTTTGTTGACATGTGTGAGTTCCACGTTCGCACTCGTCCACGTCTCGACAATTAGCCCCGTCTTCATCCACTTCATACCCGGACCGACAGAGGCACTCGTAGGATCCCTCGGTGTTTTTACAGAGCTGTTCACATGGAGGAGGTCTGACACTACATTCGTCAATGTCGGCGCACACGTCACCCGCTGATTTGTAACCACGTCCACATACACAACGGAAACTGAAAAAAAATATTACCGTTCTTTAAAAATACTACAAGAAAAATTTTGACTTCTAACTTCTGATAGGTCGTGGTATCACTGATGTCAGACGTTTATAAGTCCATCGCTACTACTGACGCCTATAGACCAGGAAAAGGAGTCAACTAGTAGGTGTCTTAAAAAAATTCCAAAATATCCAAAAACTACTTTTTTGCAACTTTAACAGCAAATTACAAAATTATGGGACGGTCTCTGCTGTTACACTTTAGATAGTTATCCTGATGTACCGAGAGGAACCAAAATACGTCGAAATATCACGGTTGCCATTTTGTTTTTTCGAGAAAACCCTCTTTGTCCTGGTCTATTAAAAGATAATATAGTAACTAACCTGACAATAGTATTGACACATCTGCCAGGAGCGCACAAGTCCGGCATGGCCGCGCACTCGTCCACGTCGAAGATGTTAATACCGTTGTCGATCATGTTATTGGTTTCTTTGTTACTGATGCCAGGCACTTTGCCAATGTGGCTCCCTCCCAGGTTCGTGGGGCTGCACAGCTCCAGCCTCTCAGGAGTGCCCGGTTGGGGGCACAGCTCGCACTCTGGACCCCAGGCGACGCCGAGAGTGCAGCAACATTGGGCTCTGTGGAACACATTCGTTGTATGTTAAACTAAAAACATTGTAACAATATAGTCGAAAAACAATCTGTCAGATAGAACCTGAATAAATTTGACAGTTACTATATATGTCATGTAGTATATAATTTTCTATTAGGTGAGTATGAAATGCCTATTCTATTTTCTAATTTCCAATAAAAAAGAGCAATGAACTTACTTGGTGACATGAGCTGGTGGTGGCGGAGTGGATGACATGTACCTGGGCCAGGGTTCCGGCACGCAGCGGCCTGCCACCAGTGACCGGTGGCACATGCCAGTCCGGTGGTCTGAAAGTAACAATTATTACAGCATTTAATTAGGGAATATTCTGTTTTTGAGGTTTATTAATTTAATGTTATCTCTACCGCAGTTTCACATAAAATAGTTTAGCTTCCAGATACATAACATGTGAGAAATTGTGATTGCCACAAAGCCATTAATGAAAAGTTGGTTCAGGGATATTTATAGTAACTAAGTATCAAAAACTTTATAGTAGTGAGTGAAAAGTGGTTGGCAACGTATTAAAATACTTGTTCACTAGAATATCTGAGAGTTTGGACTCCAAATAATAATACAGCAAAATTGGCTATGATTCTGAATTCCATTGGAACTTAAATCCTGATTACCAAATCATTTCGATTGGGTTTAAGTTCAACCTAAATTTTCCTTTACAATAATTTGTTAAGGAAAATTTATTTCAAAGAATGTTGGACTCGGAAATATTTCCTGCCTAAAACTTATACAAGTTTGTTCGGAGAATAATATTGAAAATTGTTAAAAAAATATTAAAAATGTTTTTCAAATATTTTCTTGGTCCAGCTAGGCTCGGATAGAGATAGTAGTTTGCAAAAATGTAATAAGTATAAAAACTGCCATAAATCTTTAAAATTTAAGTTGGGTTTAATTTACCTCTTGCTTAAAGCCTTGTTTATTTTTATGGTATTAATCACAGTCGCTTAAATCATAACACCGAAGATTGAGCTAAAAGAAAGCTTTAATAATCATGAACCATAGCTATTATGTAATTCTCATAGTTTTTTTTTTATGTTAGAGGGGGCAGACGAGCAGACGGATCACCTGATGAAAAGTGACTATCGCCGCCCATGAACGTCTGCAACTATGGAGTCACAAACGCGTTGCCGGCCTTTTAGGAAGGAGTACGCTCTTTTCTTGAAGGTTTGAAGGTCGTATCGGTCTGGAAATATCGCAGACGATTACCCGTTCCACAGATTGGTCGTGCGGGGCAAAAAGTGTCGCCAACTATCCAGGTAATGAGGATGAAAATTTTGACGTGTGGAACAATGGCGGAAATTTGCGGCTGGGATTTGTCCGAACAATTCCCCGGAGCACTCTCCATGATATATGCACGCATGAATAAAAGACTGTTAAATTTCCACTTGCGAACGAGGCGTGTCTCACCCTGCGATGGCCAGACCGTGGACACGGCTCTCCACACGCTGGCAGAGTGCCCGGCGTGGGTTGAGCAGAGGCGAGACCTCGTGGCGGCCATCGGAGAGGGAGTTCTCTCGCTCGATAGCCTGATTGCGGCTATCGTGCGGAGCGAGAGTGCGTGGAACTCTGCCGTCTCCTTCTGCGAGCAAGTTATGCTCGCGAAGAAGACGGCGGAGCGGGACCGGGAGAGGTTTAGGACTCTCCCGGCCCGCCAGGCCCGGGAACGGGCCAGGTACCGCAGGCGACTCAGGCGCCGGAGGTCGCAGAACGACCTCCGTCCTCCATAAGCGCAGGCCTGGGGGTGACAGGTGAGGCCATCTGTCACCCTAGCAGAAGCAGGCCGGGGTGGCGGCGAGCGCGTTGCGAAGCGCGCTCGCTTCCAGGGAGCACAGGGAACATGGGGTTCCCACACGGGGGGGGGTCGTCTACTCGTCTGTAGATGACCCGAGGTATGTCAGGGCACCAGGGACTTCTTTTCTAGGGTATACCTGGTTCCCCGGCTATTAGTACCCGAGACGGCGTGCGGTTTTAGTCGGTTCGAGTCCGACATGCCACCGACAGATGGTATCGGAGGGGATTTCCGCACGGAAAAAAAAAAAGGCGTGTCTCACCGATGCACTCCTTGAGGTCGGGGCTGGGCTCGTAGCCGACGTCGCAGTCGCACTGGAAGCCGCCCTCGGCGTTGATGCAGACGCCGGGCGCGCAGCGCTCGCGGCCGTCGGCGCACTCGTCGATGTCGGCGCACGCGTCCTCCGCGTCGTGCGGCGCCGACGTGCGCCGGTAGCCTGCCGACCAGCGGGGTCAGGGGGCGACTCGCTTACACACGTTGACCGACGTGTGCAAAGCGAGTCATTAAACTTTAGTCACTATTACACTTTTTATTAGTTTTGATAGTAATTCTGTCAATTTAACAGAAACATTACTAAAACCTAAAGCTCGATCTGCTAATATATTTTTATAAAAAGTAATCTTCATTTCTTTGTTATTTTATGTTACTTTAAAATTTCCAATTGCCTCATCTTTAATTATATCATAATATTATGTGTTGAACAATTTCAATATGGAACGTTTACGTAGTTCAGTAATAGGTGAGAAAACTACTTTTAAAACCTTTACTGATTTCATTCGTAACTAAATAACATGTTTTTATAAAACCTTTCTTTTTTCAACACTAACCTTCAGGACACTTGCATATGTAGGAGCCAACAACGTTCTCGCAGGCGTGTGGACAGACCTTGTTATCTTCGCACTCGTCAATGTCCTTGCAGTGGATCCCGTCCGCAGCTACTGCGTACCCATAAGGACACGTGCACCTGAACGACCCGAGGGTGTTGTGACAACGGAACGTGCACAAGGCTCGACCTTCAGCGCACTCATCTATATCTACACACGTCTGTAAGGAAATGTTCAGGAGTTAGGGCTCGTCCGTACAGCGATATTCCACCGCGCCTTTTTTCGCAAAATTCTGCGATACTTGGAATCTATATAGGTCTAACGGACCGACGAAAAAAATTCGTGCGAAAGGAATCGGTGATTTGATGCAAATTAAACGTAATACGGTGGCGATTTATATCCGAGCGAATAAAAACCCCGCGGTAAATATTCGCTTTGCGGACGGGCCCTTAGACAGTTGAAAACATTAGATTAGATCATTTAATTATATCTGGCAGTCGTCATTTGGAGATTACAGCAAAAACATCATCCAATTAAGAAGAACCATTTAACTTTAATAATACAAGAATCGTGCTGAGTGGAAAAGAGATTTGAAATATGGTCAAAATAGAAAAGTACAAACCTGATCAGGCCCTTGTGTGAATCCAAAGTTACATCTACACTCATATCCTCCAGGAGTATTTGTACAGGTTCCATTACCACATATTCTTGGATCAGCGGCACACTCGTCAGCATCCACACACACGAGCCCAGTACCGTCCAGAGTGTAGCCAGGTGGACATTCACATCTGAAAGACCCATCAGTGTTGATGCATCGACCGCCTTTGCAAACGTCGGGTCGGACTTTGCATTCGTCTAAGTCTTGTGTAAGATTAGGTCTACCCATTCCACCCTGGCAGATGCGAAGGAATTCAGGAGAATCTGGTGCTGGACAGCGTTCACAGTAACGTCCCCATGCGGCACCTGCACGTTCAAAACAGTAAAACAAAAATAAGACTCAGTTCTGCGGCAAATGGTGTGTGAAGATTTTGATAATACTGATGTTAAAAAGCAAGGGAAGCGGGGTACAGTAATTATTAGTATATCGTTTTTCAATTTTAAATTTTCATTAAAAGTTGAAAAGGCCAGGTAATTTAAGTCAGTTTCAAAAAAAATCTACTGTCAGCTCTAGACGTTCGAACCCATTACTAAATTTTCCATGCTGACAATTTCCCTTCGGCCGCCTACGAAACCAGGTTTCGAAACCAGTTTCGAAATAAGAATGATGTTTCGAAACTGGTTTCAATAAAAGAATAATCTTTCTTCTTTCGAAACTCGTAAAAAAATCTCTTTTGATGGATAAGAAATTAACGGTCCACTTTCACGCGATAAAAACGATATTGAAATTGAAATGAAATGAAAGGCATGTGTATGTATGTGTAGTTTCGATTTTATTTACGAGTTTCAAAAGAAGGAAGATTATTCTTTTATCGAAATGAGCTTCGAAAGAAGAAATATTATTCTTATTTCGAAACTTGGTTTCGTACGGGGCCGAAGGGGACCATTTAGTTTTTTTTTGTTTATTTATTAAAAGCCTACATGGCAGTAAATTATTTATAAGGCTGGTTAAAGACCGTAAAGAACTGTTAAAATTGATTAGGTATAATACAATGATGTAGTAGAATAAAAATACCTTCTGAGCAGCAACACTCAGGTCTTCCAAGCTGTAATGGTCTGGCTCTGTGACATCTTCCTGACTCCCACTCATCGTAGCAAAGTTCTTTACGTTCATCTACGCAAATTGCCGCTGCTTTATCGAACCGCCACCCAGATGGACAATCGCACACATACCTATAGAGAAAAATATATAATATAAATTATGTATTGAAAGTAGTGGCCTTGGTTTTGGTTCCACGTGATTTTGGTTACCTGACATTATATATCTTATATGGGTACACACATAAAAGAGTTTCATAAAGCTTAAAAGCGAGTTAATTTTTTAGAGACCGGCTAAACGTATCGATTTTATTTAGTAAAAATCTGGCTCATTAATATAATTCATAGTTACTGGAGAAAAACTAGTTTTTAATAAAAAAAATTGACAAATCAAATTATGGAATGAAACAAGTTATTTTTTAAATAATACATCTAGTAAAATCATGAATTAAACAAGAACAATAATTATTACGACACAGCTTACCCTCCATTGAAGTTCCTACACTCCCCTCCCGCGCACACATATTGTATCTCTTTACACTCGTCACGGTCCACACACCGTCTGCCTACCAAACGCCAACCGGCACCGCAGGAACATTCGTAGCTGAAAAAAAAAATGAAAGTCTAAAACCTCGTTAAAATTTTGAATTCAAAAATGTAAGACGGCGACAATGGCAACAACAATTTGCGCCCATTCTTGCAATCATTAAGTGTTTTCTGAGCGGAGTAGGCACAAATTTAGATGTATCACAAAATTGACTGTGACGGACACTGCGTAGAATTGACGACAAAAATAATGAAGCTAAAGCGAAATATAGAGAATAGGAAGTGATCGGTGATTACCCTCCGTTGGTGTTGGTGCACGAGGGCGAGCCGTCCCTGCCGCAGGGGTGCGGCAGCTCGGAGCACTCGTCCACGTCGCGGCAGTGGCGCGCGTCCGCCGTCAGCGCGTAGCCCGGCGCGCACTCGCAGCGGAACGAGCCCGCCGTGTTGCGGCACCGCCCGTTGCGGCACACCATGCCGCCCTCGCGACACTCGTTGATGTCTAACCGCAAAACAATTACATTTAAAATAAAAAACTAATGTCTATGGTACATTGATTAAATTAATGAACGGTAGACCCATCAAAACTCTGAACTGTGATTAACGCAAAAAGTTGAACATCTGTACTAAGGAAAATGTATTTGAAAGTTATTTTACACGATTCAAATTTTATACAGAAAAAATGTGGTTTTTTTTATGTTAGAGGGGCAGACGAGCAGACCACCTGATGGAAAGTGACTATCGCCGCCCATGAACGTCTGCAACTAAGGAGTCACAAACGCGTTGCCGTGCTTTTAGGAAGGAGTACGCTCTTTTCTTGAAGGTGCACAGTAGTGGAGCGCCAACTATCCAGGTAATGAGGATGAAAATTTTGCCGTAGGGAAAGATGGCGGAAATTTGCGGCTGGTATTAGTCCGAACAGTTCCTCGTGTCTGATATTTAAAATTATTAAACTCTCAGAATAAAATATATACTTAGTTGTGATATATTTTAGCAATCAGACCTTTTTCAATAAAATAATATAAAGATAACATCGGATCAAAGAAATAAACTTAATTCAAATGTAATTCTGTGGATCCATTGATTCAGTTATTTCTAAAAGACACGCTTACAGATTACTGCCAGTACATGTTACAGGAAACATTAAAAGATAGGTACATAAAAAGTCTAGACAATGATCCAAATTAAGCATACACAACATGAAAAGGCAAAATACAAGGCATGTGGCAAATACAAATACTTGCCACGCTTTTCAAAACAGATTTTCATAAATCTAACTCCTAAATCATACATAACATTTATTAACATACCTATACAATCATTATTAGCTCCTGGCTTGAATCCCTCATCACAGTGACACGTATAAGATCCAGGTAAATTTTCACATGTACCGTTACGACACATGGGACGAGGACGTGCACATTCATCTACGTCGCGGCAAACATTATCACGTAGAGTATAACCAGGCTTACAGTCACACCTAAACATAAAATCATTATAACTGATCTTTCTTAAAGCTTCTTACAAAGTTTATTGACATTTGGATATTATTTGTAATCAAAATATTTAAATAATACAATATTTGTGTAAAATATATTACTTTAAAATTACAGTCTACACTAGCTGAACCCTTTATTTATGATAAAAACACATCTAGTAAAAATATAAACACCAAATTGATTAAGGATTCCCCAGGGACTTATTCTGGGTCCATGATATGAAATCCACTATTTCATAAACAAATCATCTACTCAAGTGGTTTAAACATATTATAATAATAATATTACAATGAAGTACAAGAAATGGATGGGTCTTTCAATTCTTACCTGTATGATCCAATCGTGTTTCGACACTCGCCGTGCTCACACAACCTCTCATCGGCGCACTCATCCACGTCTTCACACTCATCGAGAGAAGCGGTGAGCGCGTACCCAGGCGGGCATCGGCACTCATAAGCCCCGGGCAAGTTAACGCATTGCGCTAACCCACGACACGGAGTTCGGTGTAAAGCACACTCGTCAATATCGCGACATAAGTGCGAAGTGTTGTCGTGCTCGTATCTGAAACACAAATGAATTTAAACTTAATAGAGGTAATGTCTAATTATTCGGTACTAAATGCGATACTTTCAAATTTTCAACATTAAATATAACTCACTCACCCGTGATCACATCCACATTGGAACCCAGTTGGAGTATCATGACAGGTACCAGGTTTGCAAAGCTGCGGCATGATGTCGCATTCATTGATAGGTTTCGTCTCATTTGTCATGGGATTGATATATTCGCCAGGTTTTTCACCACAAAGAGCCATGTGTTCCTGAGATCCTTTATCTGGACAAGGTTCGCAAGGATCACCCCACGCTCTTCCAACAGAACAACAGCAGAGGTATTTAGTCTGAGGTACACCAGAAGACCCAGAACACTGACCACGACCACTTTCTTCGTAATATTCCATGTAGCATTGTCGTTTACGAACATCGACACATTCCTCTGCAATAAAAATAAATTCTTATTAATTTAAGAACTATGAAAATTGTATTACTTTTAATTAATATTGACAGGTCTATTTCAGAGTAGTTTGTTCTTTCATATGTTTTTCGTGAATTTCAACAAAGTAATTCATCAATCATAAACAGCCTATACTAGTCCACTGCTGGACATAGGCCTCTCCTTAGAAAGGAGGTTTTGGCCTAGTATACCACGCTGGCCAGACGGGTTGGTATAGGGTTTGTTTCAAGTTTTCCTTCTCTTTGCAGTGCTGTTGTCCTGCTTAGTTTGCTCCCTTAGTCGGCTCTTACGACACCCACGGGATGAATTGGGGTGGTGACAATTTGTATTCTTAATCCGTTACCACACGGACTATTTAATTAATTTACAAAGTAATTAATTTATTAAATTTAAAAAGACAACAGGTGATTTCAAGTAATTCGTAACCAATTTGATGAAATAAAAAAAATCAATATCAATTTACTATTTTTAACAAATCACTAGAAAAAACTACCTTAAAGGCGAATAACTTTAAAATATAGGAAACACAAGCACATTTTGTTTATGCACAATACAGAATCAAATACTAACTTCCATTCGGCATAGCCACGTATCCTTCGGGGCACAAACACACGTAGCTGCCTTGCATGTTTCTGCAAATGCCGGGACCGCATATGTCTGGTTTGGCACATTCGTCAATATCCTATTGAAATGAGACTCATTAATTGACTTTTTTCAATCTATACAAATAAATAAAATTGGAGTGTCTGTTTGTAATATTAAAATAACCGCTTTTTACTAAATGCATATGTATGTTTACACGGTACATATGCCAAAATAACATTTTTTACAATTTTTGTTTGTCTGTCTGTTTGTTCCGGGTAATCTCTGGAACGGCTGGACCGATTTCGACGGGACTTTCACTGGCAGATAGCTGATGACATAAGGAGTAACTTAGGTTACTTTTTTTTGGACTAGCTTCGCCCCGCGGAGTTGCCCGCGGTTATAACAACAAACGCGGGTAGCACCGCGGGTCTCAGCTAGTAATAAATAAGAAAAAAAAATCTCTAAAGATTATTTCCAAAAATGTAATCAAATTTCTGAAAATGTTAATAATTCTTAGCATACCTCACACCGCTGTTCATCAGAAGTCAGCTGCCACCCATCTCCACAGGTGCACACAAAGGAACCGAACGTGTTGGTGCAAGTTCCGTGTTCGCAGAGAGCAGGATGTTGGACGCACTCGTCTATATCAGCTAACGTCACAACATAAGATGGCTGAAAGTAATTTTAGTGGAAACCGTTTGATTAAAAACAATTATTTGTAAAGAAAAATACTCATATATTCTTAATTATCAATATTTTTCTTTATAAAAATAAACTTACAGGTTCCAAAACAGGTTGATACCCAGGTCCACCGGGACATAATTGTCTGTATGCCTCTGATCCTGGCTCCGGACAAAGGTCACAATAGTTACCCCAGGCAGCACCTAAAAATACATGAAAATAAAATCACAAGGTCTTTCGTATAAGTACCAAAATCAAAGTACAATAGTGAGATAAAGAAGGGAAACTTGGTGTAAGAACAGATGAAATATTTCAGGACTAACCTTGTTATTCTATTGCTGCCTTTTACCAAAGTAGTAAAAAACTAAAATTGTAGTCAACTTACCAACAGAACAGCAGCAAGCGGCCATGGTGCCATCTTCGGACAACTCGTCACTGTCCTGACAATGTTCAGTGCCAGATCGTAAATCTACTGTACCATAACACCTGGCCTTTCTCGAATCTGTTAATGTACACAATCAACGATATTAGTAAAGGTAGAATAATGTCAATAAATCCAAGCAGCATTCATAAATTATTTGTTAACATGTGATAGACCAACTCAAACAGAGAAATAAAATAAAACATCTTACGCAATGACAGTATATTTATTCTTCTCTTCACTTCTTGAATATAGAACGATTAAATAATGATTTTATTATTGTTAGCAGTAGAGTTCAAAACCACAACTACCCACTCCACTTGACAAGTCCAGTTATGTTAACTAAATCTAGTTTTCAACAAAACTTCTATTAACTTACCAAAACAAGCGGTGCCATCCGACACCAGCTCATAGTTGGTCGGACACTTGCAGATATAGGAACCTTGCGTGTTGATGCACTGTCCGTACTGACACGACTGAGGAGACTTGCACTCGTCGACATCCGTACAGTTGAAGCCAGGCATCACTGGAAATTAAAATTATTTTAATTAAAAGCCTAGATATTTCGTCCATGGACACACGGAAAGCAACCAGTGTCCCCCCCCCCTCTCAATTCAGAGGAGGGGGGGGAGGGGAATGAAATTTTACCCAATTTTACCACCAGTAACCTCACTTACTCGGGGAATAGGAACACAAGAATTGTTTAATACCGGTTTTCTGCGAGGCAATTTCACAGTGAATTAATAATTAAATACATAGTGACGAAACAAATAAACTACTAGTAGACTGTGCAGATGGCGTAGTGGTTTAAGCGGTACCTCGCCGCTTCGATCGCTCGAGTTCGATCCCTACATGGGACAACGCTTTGTATGATCTACAAAGTGTTGTTCTGAGTCTGGGTGTCCTTGGTGTCCGTTTCATGTATGTTTGTAAAGTCCCTAGTCTAGTGCGGGGGTAGTCTTTTTAAGAAAAACAAAAAACTAGTTCAAAAACTCACAATCATCAATACTATCAGACTGGTATCCCTTGTCGCAGATACATTTGAACATGCCGTACGTGTTGACGCAGCGCCCGAACACGCACACGTTGTCGAAAGTTGCACACTCGTCCATGTCTGAAGTCATAAATATAGTAATCAAGAACACACGGGGAATATTTAAATATGTAATAATATCGACCAGAAGAAAGTAAAAGCGTTGAAAAATTGACATCCATTCCAATATAAAAAATTTGCCATTTAGGCTAATTTCACTTTATTTTCCATATGTTACTTACCAAGACAAGACTTTCCATCTTCCGACTTAGTGAATCCTACATCACAATCACATTCATAGCCACCGGGGATGTTGGTGCAGTGCCCGTTTTCGCAAAGAGTTGGGTCGTTGGCACACTCATCAATATCCACACACGAGTATCTGCAATTTCACATCAGTGGACAGTAAATAGTTTATGTAACCAAACAGATTATTAAAAATCAATTTTCAAGAAGCAAAATATCATATCATCATCACATCAACAGTCTTTAATAGTCCACTGCTGGACATAGGCCTCTCCTTAGAAAGGAGGTTTAAATAAACTCCATCTGGAATGGAATGGAATACAACACGAACACATGATTTTTGAAAGCATGAATTTTCGGAATATTTTTTATTTATAATGTGAAATATCGGGCATACATCGGGTTTTTGTTCTATTCTGGGGTTACAAGCCAAAATCACAACAGATTTCTTTATGACGTAGGCAACACCAAACGATAATATTATTCTTATATTATTATTACTATTTCTTACATACCCATCTCCTTTGTATCCTGTGTCACAAAGACACATGAATGAGCCATCGGTGTTGGTACAAGTGGCTCTCGGATGACAACCGCCATTATTAGTCAAACATTCATCGATATCTTCGCACTCCGTGCCATCGCCTCGCCAACCATCACGACACCGACATTGGAACGAGCCCTGCAAGTTTCAAATATATTCAAAAAATGATGTCTTTAAGCAATTTACCAGTTTTATAGTCTTTGAAATGAACATGTCCTTATATATTATGCATTTTATTACTAATGTTTGTGTGTAACGTATTATATTGCACGTTTTAAATGCCCTTGGAACTTGCTTAGGCTTTTAAACTCATCATCAGTAAGCATGATTCGTTTGGCCCTATGTCCACTTCACATCAATCACATTAACAGCCTTTAATAGTCTCTCCTTGGCAAGAGAGTTTTGGTCTATTACACCATACCATATGACACTTACAGGTAAATTAATACAATCAGCAGCAGGATGACAGTCACAGGTTCCAAGTTCACATTCATCATCGTCTGTGCAGGCGGGCCCCTGTTCCGGCTTTACGCTGTACCCATCCGAACACCGACAGACAAAGCTACCGATCGTGTTGTGACATTCTCCAGCCCCACAAAGGTCTGGTATCTGCAAATTTGGGGTACACGTTACTTCAATATTTCTTATTTTAAATCCAGTCATGTCGCCACATAAACTTCCAGTTTAAATGATTTTAACTAATAAGACATGATTTAGCATCTGACTCAAATTTTTCTGTCTTTATTAAATGAGATTTTTATCATTATTTGGATAGGGTTCCCTCAATAACTTCCAACAATACCGGTTAGATCAAAAACTGCTATCTTTACGTGATCGTCTATACAACTTGTTGATAAAAAAATTATACTGGGCACGGTCTGTGGTCTCCGATCTCAAAATTTTCGGCCTCGGAATATTGGAATCAGCAAATTCACTGACCTACTTTTATTTTTGTATATGCAGGATATATATGTACATTTATTTCTATATATACGTGTAATTTTAAAATACATGTAAGTTTAGTTTAAATATTTATTGGTAATCAGTGATTGTAATTGTAACCTCGGTGCACCTACCCTACAAGATTTCTACACCACCCAAAAGGTTGTCCGGTAGAGAACGCCCAGGGCATTAAGTCCACCGACGTACATAAGTGCGTAAAGACGAAGAATAAAATAAATATATGAGCATGATGAGGTCGGAGGGCGAGCTTACATCGGCGCACTCGTCGATGTCCTGGCACGTGGGCCTGGCGCCGTCGGGCGCGGGCAGCAGGCCGTCGGCGCAGGTGCAGGCGTACGAGCCCGGCGTGTTGCGGCACTCGCCGCCGCCGCACGGCCGCGCGCCCGCGCCGCACTCGTCCACGTCGCGGCACGTGCGCCCGTCCGCGCGCAGGTGCCAGCCTTCCCTGGGGGGGGCGTGACTCGACTCTTACTATCGTACTTCATATTAAGCTCCTAGCAAATTTACTAAACAAATCTATAACCCTTAAGCTTTAGGAGAAGTCTAATTTTCTGAAATAACAAGCTACTAGTGTAACTTTCAGTAAGCATTAAAACAATACTTTTGCATTTAGGAGCCATTTAATTGGAATTACAAAGGAAAGTTTTCATCACGAAAATTATCGATCACTTATAATATAGCGCTCTAGGCGTGTCGACTTTAGCGATTGTGACTCACCTGCAAGTACAATGGTAGGAGCCGAGAGTGTTAACGCACTCGTGCTGACATCTCGTGGGATCTTCCGTGCATTCATCGATGTCTTCGCAGTGGGATTTGACCGTTAACTGAGCGTAGCCCTCGTCGCAAACGCACTGGTATGTTCCCATCAAGTTCTCGCAAGCGCCGTTACTGCATATTCCTGGAAAACATTTCGAAAATAGTTATCGAGTCCGTTCTCGACTCCTTCTTTAGTTACTATTGTAATTTTTGACCTCAATCCTAAACACATGCTAACAACACTGAAATAATCCTTTTTCTTGCCCAAGGAAATTCTAAGGACCTTCTCCTGTTCGTTATTCTCTTTATCAGCAAGGTTTGTTTTTTACAGGTTTTATTTGTCATTTTATTCTTAAATAAATTTTGATTATTAAAGGAGACAGAATCCGCCCATAGGACGAACAGCAATTTTGTAAACAATAATTTAAAATAGTTATAATTTTAATTTTATTTTGAAATAAAGATTCATGAAAATATGGTTGTAAAAATATTTATATGGATTTAATAATAATAAACTTTATTTATGCAAAAATTTGTTCACAACATATTATTATACACAAATTTCATGATTTGTGATGTATGACTTACAATTTCATTCAATCTGCAACCAAAAATAGAATATGTCTCGATTAATATTATATTTTAAGAATGCCTACCAGAAGTGATGGAGCACTCATCCACGTCTTTGCAGCTCAGTCTATCTGGTGCCAGTTCCATGCCGGTCCCGCACTCGCACCGGAATGAGCCAGGAGTGTTGACGCAGCGTCCTCCGCGACATAGACCTCTAGTTTCTGCGCACTCGTCGATATCTGCGGAAGATGTTAGAACAATTCCTGAGCTTCTGAGAATTGAAAATTCATGTAAATTTTATTATCAATAAATCCAGGCGGGCAAGTATAAGACAGACTTCTGTGACCAGGGCGAGTGAGACTCGAAAATATGTATATATATTTTCTATATGTATCTTCTGGATAATTTAAATAATTCACGAGATTATTACAAAAGTAGGGAGTAGAGTAGAGGATACAGATTCAAGTATATCACAACCTATATACTGAGAGTAAAATGCGCCGTAAAAGCCCAAATCCCCTCCTCTCGCTGACTCGAGCGGGAGGGATTCCTAGGGCGGCAACGCACTTGTGACTTTTGAGTTGCAGGTGTCCATGGGTGGCGGTAGTTGCTTAACATCAAGTACCGTCTGCTCGTTTACCCCCTTATACCATAAAAAAGGCATTAACTAACCTAACTAACTATAAACAGTAAATGAAATTTTCTGATATAACTATAAAAGTATTATTCTTATCCAGAATAAAAAAAGTTTACTCGAAATGTATTGCGATAGTTGAGAGAGAACAGGCGTATAACGTTCTCTCAGTATCCATGTACTCATGGGACTTAATTCCAACCAATTCACACTACAGCTTGTAAAAAATACTGTACTTACCAACACAAACTTTGGAGAAATCATCGGACTTATGTCCAGGATGGCAGTGACAACTGAAGGACCCTTCAGTGTTGCGACACTCGCCGGAGCCGCAAACACCGTCCACGATCTCACACTCGTTCACATCCACGCAGGTGTGGTTCTTCGAGTCCTACTCAATAACATTTAATTGATTTTGATTTCAGTACAATATGATTTTCATAAGAGAAACTTTTGTGATCGGGTAAGCAGAAGTAGTTTTGTAAATGTCATTTATTAATGTTCGTTTTTTAATCTTTCTGCGATTAATATTTTCTCAATCTATAATTTTACCCAAAATCTTCAAAGCTGACACAGAACCAATTACGAATCTTTTTTTTTTAAGAAATTTGAAATTACATTTTTAATTCTGGCATAGTAAACAGTTAAGTAATTTAATTAATATAATAATTTATCACTAATTATCACACACCTTTTCATATCCAGGGAAGCAATCACAGGTGAAAGTTCCTACTAAGTTTCTACATCGCCCATGTCCACAAAGGCCGGGGAAGGCAGCACACTCGTTAACCTCCATCTGTCCCGGGATCACTCCAGGGCCCCCCTTATGCCAGTTATCCGAAGTAATGTTGCCCCAGTTGTCAACGTTGCCGCCTCCAGTCCATTCGTTTTCATCGCCTCCAGGACCGATTGGTTTATTGCCCCATATACTGGTAACGTTGCCGCTACCACCAGGACGATCCCAAATTGTTGGAGGATGTCCGGTCGCATCAGAGATACAGAGATTACGGTAGGAGTCGGTTCCTAAACATTAAATTTAACCGTCATTATAATCAGACACAATTAGTGGCGTAGACCTTTTAGTGTCCTATTATGTCGTTACCTTTCTTAGGGCAAGGCTCGCAGCGTCCATCACCCCAGGCCTTGCCGAGCGCCGAACAGCAACACACGGCCCGTAACACTTCCACCTGCAGCGGGCTCGAACACCGTCCCCCCACGTAGTCTGTGTAGCAGTACTCACGCCGAGTGTCCACGCAGCGGTTACCTACACATCATTATTAACATTTCGTTACTGTGTGAGTATTAATGTTTTTGAAACTGTCTTCAAATAGAACGACCCTCTTCTTTGACAAAGCTGACTATATTCTCGTCATTTTTTATTTAATACTTTGACGAAGTCTTTTTTCTTGATAGTTTTTTTAAATAGTAACATATTAATACAGTTTTAATTTAAAGTCGCTACCTGTAGCATCAAGACTAAGTCCTGGAGGACAATCACACCGATAGGAGCCATCAGTGTTGATGCAGGTACCTCCTACGCACAGCTCTGAGTTGAGCTGGCACTCGTCCACGTCGCGGCACGTGGCACCATCCAACTGGAAGCGTAAGATATTGTGTTATAGTATAAATTTTGGGTTATGAGGAAACATGTTCCTGTCGGTTCAGAGGTCGTTAATGGTTATGAGACAATTGATTAGCCATTTAACTACCTACGTTTTTGTATGGTATAAGGGGCAAACGAGCTGACAGGTCACCTGATGGTAAGCAACTACCGCCGCCCATGGACACCATCAACTCAAAAGTTACAAGTGCGTTGACGCCCTTGGAGTCCCTCCGCTCGAGTCAACGGGAGGGGGGATTTGGGCACCGGTAACCTCACTCACTCAGTGAAAGGCAACGAAATAATTGCTCAACTAGGTGAAATTAAAATAAAATAGTTACTTATACAAGTTTCAAAGCTGCCGAAGCTGACTAGCAAACTATTTTAAAAGACTTATTATAAAAAAGTGTATACCTCTGCCTAGTTGACTACAATTTGAATAAACATATTTTGACTTTGGTATGGGAATGAATACAGTTTTACATTGAACCTCAAGATTAATTTTCAAATTGTCTCTTTTTTTAATTAAATATTTGACACCTTTTATATCAGAGCAACAATCCCAATTTGGGTCTCGTAAACTAAAAGCCTTAAGAAACTTAAGACACTTTTTTCACGATATCTTCACATTTACTTCTTAATATTTGCACGTACCTTAGCAAATCCCTTTGGACAAGGGCAATGGTCCATTTCGCAGGGCTCACACGGTGACCCCCAGGCGAGACCTACGCTGCAGCAACACTCTTGGCGGAGAAGGGGCCTCATAGCTGCAGCCTCGCACTGACCATCTACCACTCGTCGCCAACATGAGCCGCGACGATTATCTAAAAACAATATACCCATTCTATTATCTCAATGTTGCTTAAAAACTTACTAAACCCAAAAAAAAAACAACTTTGATGATTATTGGTTTTTAAATTACTAATAAAATTTGTACAAAAAAAAGAAGAGAAGATACAGTAGATCCAGAAGAGGACTCGGAAAATTAAAACAATGCTAATAATCTTATAAATAACATTATAATCAAAATAGAAATCATAAATAAAAGAAATGAACAAAATAAATACATTACCGAGGCAGTGTTGGGCAGTGGCGTCAAGTACGAATCCGTTTTCACATTCACACTCGTAGCTGCCGTGTGAATTGATGCAGCGACCGTTGTCACACGGGTTCGATTGTTCTACAAACAGTTTATTGCCTATTCAAACATACCGACAAAGACAACACTAATGAGGAAAGAAACTAACTGAAGCCTATTTCAAAGAAACACCATCTACATTATAAGACTAATTTAAGTTCATAAGATCAACTACAAATAGAAAAGATTTCAAAGATGCATCATAATTTTCAGACATTTTTTGCGGTTTAAGGGTCAAACGAGCATGGTTCACCCAATGATAATTACTAGCCTATGAATACAAAAGACAATGGACTAACTTTCTTAGAGGTTTGAAAGTCGATACTATCAGCAAAGATGAAGGCGGCAATTTAAACAAATTAATTAATAGATCACTTAGGTCACTAACATTTAGACATTCTTAATTCACATTAGACTACATTTTCTAATCTTAATAACGAGAAAGAAAGCATAATTATTAAAAAAATATGCAAGAAGCATAATTCATTTATAGCATGGACACCCAATGAAAACGCGCACTTTTTACTGATTCAAATAGAAAATATTGAATGTCCGAGTACTAGCCGTCTGGAAGGTCAGGATCACTCCTCTGCTATGTAATCAGACAACTCTTACTTAGACATTTTCAAACAGACCCTCGTTTTAAAAGATCTTGAATATTATTTACTATTAAATAGTTTTAAAAGTTTTTAATATATTATTATGAATAACTAAGCAGTGCAATGAAATTGATCGAGTGCCGTTAATGTATAATTTTTTAAAGTCCAGTTTAATGAATGACACAGCTCTCAGATGGTATGAGCTTTTTAGCCGCTGTTAGTTAGGGTCGCACACGATACGATAAAGGCTATGAACACCACCACTGAACTACGTAATACAAATGTCTAACTTTCAGTCTTTATCAAGCCTGTTTTTTTACCTGAATAAAATAATATTTTATAGTTTAATTTCTTTGTTGTCAATTTTTACTAGCAAATACAAAAACCGCGTGTGTTGAAACTATAACTAAATCCAGGTATTATATGTTTGTTGTAAACAACGATAATCTAAGTTTCAGTAAATCGATTTTTTTATATCTTAATATTTTAGAAAGAAATGGTAAGATAAAACAAATAGTTCTATAATTTAGTGGTAATAATATTGAACATAGATCATATATTAAAAGAATGATATGAGAAAACAGTAAGCTAAGGGTCAATTAAAGAAACATTAAGTTTTATTTTTATTGATTGAGATATTATAATAAAGATAATATTTATTATTTTCGATGGAATTACTGTATTATTGATAGAAACCGCCAAAGATTACATTTCTTTTATGGTTTCTCTTTGTATTCGTATTCCTCTAACTTCATAACAGATCTTTTAACTACCTGACGTATATTCATTAATATCATACAAGTATTTATGTGTGCATACGCAGTACAGTGGTTTCAATTGACGAGTGCACGACCACGTTAGATGCCCGATGCATGGAGCATTATGAGGCTGGGTGCTTTTCACTCAAAGTTTTTTTAACCTGTTCCGACTGGAATCATAGAGGGGATGTCGCCCCTGTCATATTCCTTGACGATGAAAGTAAGCTCACCCTCGCATTCGTCAATGTCGCGGCATATTTGTTCGTCGGGTTCGTACCGAGTGCCCGGAGGACACACACATGTGAAGCTGCCGAGAGAGTTGCGACACTGCCCTCCTGTACAATACTGTAACAAATCCAACCACATCGTTTAGAAAGACAAAATTTCTATCTTCCCACATTTGATCTAGTTTCTAAATTACTCACCGACTGATGCATATCACACTCGTCAATATCTCTACAAATCCCATCAGCATCAGGATGGAATCCAGGGTCACAGATACATTTGTACCCCGGCTCTAAGTTCTCACAGGTCCCGTGAGGACAAATACCCGGGATCATGGTACACTCGTTAATGTCTGCACCTCCGTTATCTTTGCTAGAACCTTCAGGACATAGGACCTTGTAGTCTTGACTGCCAGCTTCTGGACACGGTTTGCAAGCAACCCCCCAACCTAAACGTAAACCTATAAAAACGAAGTCAACAATGATTAAAAATGGCTGTGGTAAATAATAACTAATCATCTATGCTGAAGTTGAAATTGAAAAACTAGTTTTACTGACGTCATAAGAAAACGAGAGTGAATGATATCTGAACAATAAATTGAAGAGAGAAGAATTATTTAAAGACAAAGAGATAATGATAAAAATTGTACAATCAGAACTCATCAAATACCTTTGCTTGAACTACAACAACACTGAGAACGTGTTACTGCATTTTGACCAGGTCCTGTACAATGGCCTTCTTCGTATTTTTCGTAGCACAAATCCTGCACTTCGTCTGGAAGCAAAGAAGAAAGAAAGCATTAGAATCAATCATAGTTCTCGCCACTTTCGATTCTTACTTAATTAAATTATTAACCATTTGAAAAAAAAACGCTAAGATAATTGTAACAATTTACATTTAGCAGTATACAAAAGCTGAAATTACAATAAATTTACTGTCAACTTAAATATTGACTAAATACAAGCAATTAGTATTTTTTTTAAATAACGTCAAATGGTATCAGAAGGAAGAATGAGTTAAGTAATATGTGAGTGAAGTTACCGAGACAGGTCCTGCCGTCGTTGCTGAGCGTGAAGCCGGGCAGGCACTCGCAGCGGAAGGAGCCGGGCGTGTTGTGGCAGCGCCCGTTGCGGCACACGCGCTGCTCCGAGCACTCGTTCACGTCGACGCACGCGCCGCGGTCCGGCGTCGGCCGGTAGCCCGCCTCGCACACGCATTGGAACGAGCCCTCGCTGTTCACGCACCGCCCGCCCTGCACACCGTACACACACCACTCTAACTTTAATTGCACATTATACTAACGGATGTTAACTGAAAAGCGAGTCTTGCAAAAAGTCTCAACCTTATAAAATATAAAAATAAAATATTAGTAAAATATAAGAACTAAGGATGCCAAATTCAATTATTCTATACATCGCAAAAAAAATCAAAAGTTAATATTTGAAATAGTTCAGTTAAAAAAATAAGTTTCGAGTTCCAAGGTGGAAAAATCAGATTTCCCTAGAAATTTTTGACATCTCTCAAAGAAGATGATACGGTTTGATCAGCATTGGGCCACAGAAGTAACGTTCGGTATGTCGTAGAGGCGCACCTGGCACACGCTCTTGTCGGCGCACTCGTCGACGTCGGCGCAGTAGCCGCCGGCGCTGGCGCTGAAGCCGGGCTCGCACTCGCAGTCGTAGGCGCCGGGCGTGTTGCGGCAGCGCCCGCGCCGACACACGCGCGGGTTGTCGCGGCACTCGTCCACGTCGCGGCACGCGTGCCCCGTCTCCGTCGACTCGTAGCCCGGGTTGCAGATGCACTCGTATCTAGTACACGCAACCATAACCTTGCACTACTTTAAACCCCACTCGACACTCATATGTAACATTTTGTTACTTTCTCAAAGGGAAATATCTAAAGTATGTAACCTTAGATACTTTCATGGATATTTTAGTAAGTTTCGGTTTACTTGTCGTTTCTGAAGATTTCAATTAAGAAGTATATCAATTTAGGTGAAAGACCTTTTAATTAGGGTTCCGTACCTCAAAAGGTAAAAAAGGAACCCTTATAAGATCACTTTCTTGACCGTCTGTCCGTCTGTCCGTGTGTCACCACCGATTTTCTCAGGAACGGGTAGACCTAGCAGGTTGAAATTTATACCAGATACTGAGGTCTATGGTCACTATTAGGTGTATAAAAATCAAGGTCCTGAGTCAACACGATAAAAAGGTATGGGCAAATTTCGATTTTCGCGAATAATGTAAGTACCAAAATCCCTTAATTTTCAACTTTTTTTTATTTTCCAGAATTTTCTCTTTACTTGTGTTGTAAGACCTTGCTTTTAACCAAAATTGAAATTTATTTATTAGGTACTTACAAATTTTCGCGAAAATCTACGTAAAATCGTGCGCCGAGAGTCCCAGCTCTCGGCGCACGAGTTCGACTCGTACCTGACCGGTTTTTTTTTTGGATGCAGATACTTTCCAGAAGAAACGACAAATCTCAAATAACTTTAAACTAAATCAAGGTGTAGTACTTATTCACAACGAGAATCATGTGCCACAATCGTAGATACTAGTTTTAGAAGAAGATCTTCTTAAAAAAATTAAGCTGGCAGATAACTCACCCTCCATCACTGTTTCTACAGAATCCATTGGTGCACATACCACCGTTCGTCATCTCGCATTCGTTTTTATCGCTGCATCTTAATCCATTGTTAACAGGATCGAATCCAGGGGGACACCTGTTCAGTATCAAATTAAATCGATAAAATAAGTTTTTAGGTAATGATTATATTTATCATCAAACGTCTTTAACACAATTTTTATAAACAAGTACCTCGCGATCCGACAGCAACTGGGCGATAGCAAAAGAAAAAATATATAAATAATGTGTGAAACTTGTTAAGGTTTTAGTAAACGTTAAAGAGAGCTCCATAATAGCGTTAGCGTAGCGGAGGTAGCCTAGTGGTTAAGGCGTTGGACTTGCTATCAAGAGGTCGTGGGTTCAAATCCGGACCAGTACACTACCGACGTGAACCCACTCCTAACACAAGCAATTTAGCTTAGCGGGAGGTGTTAACGAGAATACTAGTAATTTCGGTTGCTAGTAGACCTTTTAGAAAAAAATCTTGGAGTGCTCTTTTTTACTTTTTTCATTGATTTACAAAGCGCATAACAATTTTTATTATTTCAAGAATACAACATAATACGAAAAAAATATTTGCTTTGTAAAATTGATTTTCAGACAAAGAATTTTTTTTTTTTGTGTTGTGAGTTTTTGCAAAGTTAAGTAAAATGTGACCGTATTAAAAAACATTATTCTAACGTTACATCAAAATTACAAATAATAATATACTCAAAAATATATGTACGGTGTAATATTTAAAATATCCCTTATTAAATCAGACAAATGTAACCTATAATATATGTCATAATAACCCATAAATATACTAAACATGTATTTTTCTACTTACAGAGAACAATAAAATCCTTGACCATCATTGACATTGTTAAATAAAAAACATATCAAAATCATATTAAAACAAACACGAGACTATATTATACGTAAAAGAACAAAGTCAAATACCGGCAGTCGAAGCCACCGGGCCGATTGATGCAAGTGCCGCCCTTGCAGTACTCGAGCGCGCACTCGTCGATGTCGATACACGTGGGGTTGCCATCCTGCACCACCGACTCCGCACCATCCCAACAATCGCACTGGTATCTGTAAACAGAGATGGGTCAGCAAACACTAGCGGACTTATAAATTCAATCACATCTGCAGATTCGCATCATCATCATCATCATCGACAGCTTTTAATAGACCACTGCTGGACATAGGCCTCTCCTTAGAAAGGAGGTTTTGGCCTACTATACCACGCTCGCCAGACGGGTTGGTATAGGGTTTGTGTCAAGTTTTATTTCTCTTTGCAGTTTTGTTGTCCTGCATAGTTTGCTCCCTTAGTCGGCTTATACAACACCCACGGGATGAAAATAGTGACAATCCGTATGCTTAATCCGTCACCACACGATTCGAATACACGAAGTACCCTTACATAAAATTTAGCTGAAAGAATTAGATTGGAGGTAGTAGTCTTGCTAATATATAACAATATAAAAGTTTAAATTGATAAATTCAATGTCAAATGTTCTCATAAAATAGCCATGTGACGTACCCGATGTCTTTATCGACGCAGGTGCCAAGCCCGCAGATGCCGCTCCTCAGCATGCACTCGTTGATCTTGGCGATGGCGGGCGGCTCGTACGTGTCGCCGCCGTTGCCGCCCGTCACGTTGCGGCGCCAGCTCGGCGGGATGATGCCGCCACCGCACAGGTGGCTCCACTCGCCTGAACAATACATAAGTATTTTACTTACAAACACACATACATATATGTACATATACTACGTTTAGGTTAGTGATGAACATCCGCGATTGATATCTTATTATAATTATTATTGATATGTTATTTAAAGGCTACATTTTTAAGAATTGGTATGCACGACTTCACGGATACCGTAGTGGTTTAAGCGGTCGCCACGCCGCTACCCACTGCGCTTAGTGCTTTGGGACACACACTGTGTGGACACTGTGTGATCCACTAATTGTTGTTCTGAGTCTGGGTGTCCTTTGTGTCGGTTTCATGTATGTTTGTAAAGTCCCCCGTGACACAGGATATATTCCTAATGCATTAACAAAATTTGCAAAAAAAATCTTTCTCAACAGAAATTCAGTACAACTTATGATTAAGAAATCGGTAAGTTTTATTTTATGGGTGTAGAGTTAAGTAAGGTAGTACGTAGAAATTTTACCCATAACTGTGTAACATGAACAGAAAATTTGTTTGAATGAAAAGCTTGTAGCAATGGAAGTGGTTGTGGTAAACTATAAGAGGCACTAACTAGATCCTCTGGGAGGACAGGGGGTGCAGAGGTTGCCCCAGGCGCGGCCCATGTTGTACCCGCAGCAACAGTCGCGATTGGACAGCGGCATGGGCAGGCGGTCCGCGCACTCGCCCGTCTCGCCCAGGTACGTGTAGCAGCTGCCTACTCTCCCATCTGTCAACAAATAACATCGTATTACTGTTAGCACTGGACAAACACAATTAGTAACATAAAAAGCAATAACATATATAGAATACTAGCTGTACCCTGTTGCGCTTTACTGTAGCATATTATGGTTATATTGATGAGAAATGAGGAAGAAAACTGACGCGAAAAAATTTAAAAGCAATTTTCAAGTGGTTTGTATATCGTGTGAACATTTTAGCTCAATCGATGCAAAACTTTGAGCTTTTGAAATATACACAAACCGGCCTAACATTTTTATATTTATTTATATATATATACAGTGTCCCAAAATTCAACGATAATCCGTACCAGATGGGTTTTCTTTTTTTTTCTCGAGTAATCATGAGCAGGTCCACCATCTGATGACGACACTTTGGGACACTCTGTATATATACAAATACTAAGAAAGACGAGTTCGACGAGTTATTAAATACTAAATCTCAAAAGAAAATAAAGATGACATTGTTTTTCAATTTCAATATTCGTCGTCTTCAATATTCATGATTTTTCTTAAAATCATGAATATTGAAGATATCTGTAATGTATTGCCAACTCTATTCTATTGTGTACTTTTTGTGTCAATCTTTTATGATAAGTTTCAGGTGAGAGTACGCTCTTTACTTAAAGATTTTTGTGTATGAAATATAAAGTTACTAAACTAATTAAAAAACTAAGACTTAATCACATACACACGCACACACACATACTCACACACGCAAGCACACACGCACACATATAGAATAGAATCGAATCAAAAACTATTACTTACCGATACAGAATTTCTTATCTGGGCTGGGAATGAAGTGTGGATCGCACAGACAATAGTAATCACCCTCTGTATTCACACATTTGCCGTTCTGGAAAATAAAATCATTTTGTATTTACCCGTAAATGATCGTACACGTATGTGAGAAGAAACATAAATAGATTGTGAGTAAAATGTTTACTGGACAAATGTCGGGATCCTCGCATTCGTCGATATCCTCGCAGTTGTTGCTGACGGGGTGGCGCCGCTGGCCGGGGGGGCACTCGCACGAGAACGAGCCCACCGAGTTGATGCAGCGCCCGCCCTGGCACAGCCCGGGTACTGCTGCACATTCATCTATGTCCTATAAAAAATGAAGTATTTATAGTAATCTTATTAAAGAACACTTTTTGTATGGACGTCGTTTTTTATTCTGAGTAAAATCCATTATGGCTCAAATTATGATTTGGGAAGTACTTAGATAAGTGATTATATTTTTAAACCGGGTGCATTCGTAACTATTAGCAGAGTATATAATCGTCCATTGGCATTTTAGCATAGCTTAGTACTTTTATAATAATAAACAGTGATAGTTTATCGAAGTGTTTAATTTAGCATCGAGCTTAGCAGCAGCCCATCGCACGTAGGAAACGTATCCTACATTTCTCTTACAAAAAATCTCAATTGTGGTAAATAACCGGGTAACAGAGACAAAATATGTCGATACGACGATTGTCAAAATTTATCACTAACTGTGTTTTTTTTATTAAATCTTAAGAAAATGATTTTTGAAAAATAAATTGTCCCATCAAATTAATAGTTAACGAGATCGATAACGAGATTACGAAAAAGGACTAATAACTGGCTGATTTTGTTAGTTCAAAGTTTCAGTTTCAAAGGTCAATATTCAGAACACCATATAGTATATTATTTCACATGTAAAATTATCAGTTTGAATTTATTGAGTGAAAAATAGGTAATCCTTACATATTAGTAATCAAAAACGTCGTTATGTCAGTTGTAACGTGATTATTTAATACGCTGATAGAGAAAGGCTTTTGCCAAATATCCAGCTGCTTTTGAGATGCCCTGGAATATTCAAGAATATCGCAACATATATATATACCTTGGCTGCATAAATGGCTATATTCAACATGACATATAAAAAGACACATATGCTGTATAACATTTGACGTTTAGTATCACGCGCATTCATTGGTTCCCCAGCTGCCCGTTACTCACTTCCGTTCTTCTAATCACTCCTAAAGGTCGGAGGATAGCGAGGATAAACATGAAAGAGGACGTACCTGGCACTCCTTGGTGGCGAGGTTGCGTAAGTGACCGTGTGGGCAGTCGAGGTCAGCGCAGCGCTCGCAGGGGTGCCCCCAGGCCACGCCCACGGTGGCGCAGCAGAGCTGCTTGGTGCACACCACGCCGTCCAGCGCGCCCGTGCACAGCGCGCCGCGCGTGTCCGTGTAGCACGGCCCTCCACACCAAAGCAAACCACACAAACATATATACGAGTATTCTCTCATTTTTTTTCTAAAGTATCTTCTAGATTAAATATTCAGGAATTGATTTGCCGATAGTCATCAGATGGGAAGTGACTATCGCCGCTCATAGACACCTACAGCTCTAAGTGTCATAAGAGCATTTCTGCCCTTTGAGTGCCTCCCAAAGAATTAGGAGAAGGAAGTATGGTTTGTTCATCTTTGGAGTAATGACGTGCCACGTATATACCTGCGACTGTGTAACCTCCTCTCTAAGGAGAGGCTTATGTCCAGCAGTGGACTATTAAAGGCTGTTGTTGATGATGTGTATAAAACACAGTCGCAGGTATATACTCCAGCAACAGAAAAAGAAGGAGGGGTTTTTCGGTCTCCTCGATGAAAAAATTGATTAACACCGGCTTTTTGTGAGTCCGTGCCATCACTCCGGTTGATATGTAAAGAAACATGACTCTTCCACGGCTAAGATATTAGATGTAATAATTTGCTAGACCTGGTCGTTATTTTGAGCATGTGCTTTCAATGGTTATGTTATTAATATAGTACAAATAAACTTACCAGTTCTTCTGTCGATCTCGCATCTCGTTCCCGAAAGTCCGTGGAAACACACGCATCGGTCTGGTGCAATACATCTGCCACCATGCAAACATGGCTCGCGGCATATTGCTGGAAAAATATCAACAGGTTATATTGAGAACAAAATCTGATGTGGCAGAAGTGTCCTGTCTCAAGATCTACTTATGTCCTCATATCCTCATAATTTAAAGAATTGTTCATGATTCCCTTGGCAGCCTAGTCACCTGGCTCTGTTAGTAATGCTAATGATGGAAACACAATTTTAGTTAAGTATTAATTGTTGTCCGTGTGGTGACTGATTAAGAATACAGAGTGTCACCACCCCTATTCATCCCGGGGGTCGTCAGAGCCGACTAAGGGAGCAAACTACGCAGGACAACAGCACTGCAGAGAGAGGGAATACTTGACACAAACCCTATACGAAGTCGTCTGGCCAAAACCTCCTAAGGAGAGGCCTATGCCCAGCAGTGGACTATTAATGGCTGTTGATGTGATGATGACGATTAATTGTTTTGAAGTATTAGGTACAGGAGACATTTTCTTTATTTTCACTAGTTGAGTCATCATTCCTTCTGGATCAGAGACCCGAGACAGACAAAAAGTAATAAATTGAGAAATCATAAATTTCACTCAATTTCACCAGTAATAGTATTTTGTACCTGACTGAGTCAGTCCTATCTGCAACCACTTCTTAAAAAAACAAAAAAAAATATGTTTGTGAGAGTACTCACGTTCAGTACAGAATTCTCCGCTCCAACCAGGTGCGCAGGCACACGTGCCGTTGGTGCAAGTGCCTCCATTCATACAGATACGGCGGCACCCCCCTGGAGTCCGCACTGGAATTTCACGAAGAGAAATAGTATTATTGGTATTGGTATTGGTTGTGGGCTTCGGTTTCCGCATTTAGACTCAAGAGTGGTCCTTTATGCGTCGAGGCTCCAAGCTCCTTCCAGAAGCAAATAAAAATAGTATGAACTCAAATAAATCACTGTATAGTTCTATTCTATAGGAAAGCATTAAATTTTAAATTTTACCTAATAGCGATCATTTATTTATTTATATTTACAATTATAACGTTATCTATACAAATAAATAAAATTGGAGTGTCGGTTTGTAATATTAAAATAACCGCTTTTTACTAAATGCATATGTATGTTTACACGGTACATATGCCAAAATAACATTTTTTACAATTTTTGTCTGTCTGTCTCTCTGTTTGTTCCGGGTAATCTCTGGAACGGCTGGACCGATTTCGACGGGACTTTCACTGGCAGATAGCTGATGACATAAGGAGTAACTTAGGCTACCTTTTTTTAGACTAGCTTCGCCCCGCGGCTTTGCCCGCGGTTATAACAACAGACGCGAGTAACACCGCGGGTCTCAGCTAGTTGTCATATATAATTTAAAACTGTGTCACTGACACAGCCGTCTTGTATTCACTATCTTCTAGCAATCCATTCAGCCAATTCATGTAATTGTGAAACCCCATCTTATCAAAATTCGATTTTTACAAGAGCAGTTACCTGCTTAAATTGGTTTCAATAGACTGACAGGTATCAAATAACAAAAATTATAATAAAAAAAGGATTACCTTATTAAGTTAAAAGGTTTTAAGACTGATTGCTAGTTACACTCCCGAAGAATCCGAAGAAATTATAGCTTTTAACTGGATGACGTAACCGTGCGTACCTGGGTAGGGATAAATACCGCCGGGTTGGCACGAAGGAGCCTCTACGCCACCGGCGCAGCGGCACATGTTGGGCGCCACGCAAGCGCCCGGAGACCCGCAGTCTGGACGACATACGGCTGCAATTAAAAAATAATGGCACATATTACACTACAACACAATACCATTTATAAATGTTGCCAAACTATATAAAACGCGAAAATCATTGGTATGGAAATATTGTATGATTTTATAGAAAAGGTAAACTGCTTACTGAAACAGAAATTAAGATTGTTTAATAATCAATAATAATCAGTTAAAGGATTGTGTGATGGTTTGGTAAAAGGGATGTATAAAAGACACCGTAAATAAGTAAAGTAAATGAGAATACTTTGTTTAATAAACGGCTGTCTGATCCCAAAGTAGGCAGAGCCTGTATTATGGCAACCAGACTGGCGATATATATATGTATATATCTAAACACATACACATTTTAGATAATTAACACCCAGACACAAAGCAAATGATCATGCTCAATCATTTGTCCTAGGTGGGAATCGAACCCACAAACTCTGGCTTTGCAGTCAGATTCACTAATCACTAGACCACTCTTCCACCCTTGGAGGCTTTGGGGAATAGTTAATCTTCTTTATAGGCTTTAAAATGTATTACTTACGGACTATACAAAGTAAAGAGTTAGGCCTGGACGTCCACCCGGGACAGCAATGCGTGCTGTTTCGCGATCGACACACGTGTGGCCTGGAACAAATGCGATCACATCAAATATTTCCGAAGACATTTCTGGTGAGTCGGATCGTGTAGTTGTGTATCAGTGTCTTTTTTTATTTGATTTACCTACATATGATTACACTCTGACAACACACATTCAAGACAGAATATAAACTAGTGCACCAAACAATTACTGGAAATACAGCATTCACAAAACATACAACAGCTCAAAATAACAGAAAACTTGTCCATGGCATGACATCAATAAATACAGATAAAGTAAAATATATGACAAAATAAACACTGACTAAAACAAGATGTACAAGAATTTGAATTTTAAATACATAAAATGGTTATTTTGTAAAACCAAGAAAGCATACTTAAGAGAGAAGTTCATCATCACCATTATCATCAGACCAACGGAACCTAGTACAATAAACTCGCCTACCGAGTTTCACCAGTATCCTCCGAAGATTTGCACTATTGAATTCTTGGCTCCATAATCACTATGGATCGAAATCTTGGGTGCTGTTACTATCAAAAGTATAGATATGACCAAAAATTCCCGGGCATGGATACTTTAACCAAAACTCCCTGCAGGGAATTAGAATTCTGAATGATAATGATACTTCAAGGTTTTTTGCCTATATAATTCTTATTTCACGCAATTAAAATAGATAAGTCAGGATTTTTAATAAGTAAATAAAACAATAATTTAATAGGTACATAAAGTTTATTTTTATTAAAAATAAAAAGTACATAGTATAACAAAGTAAGTAAACAATTTTGGAAAAACCTACAATAAACAATTTAAAATAACATGATATTGCTCGGCAAACCCAATTTCAGGCCAAACTAGTTTGTTTAAGCCAAACCGGTTTAATGACTAGATTTTTTAAGCTACACTAGCATATTTTGACATGCATAATGTAGGATATATCGGTCTGACCTAGAACAAATTTAGTTTGGTACGAAATCAGGTTTGACTTTTGTCAAGGTATTGTTAGTAGGTAAACTTCCGATGAAAATCTTATGGATATTTAAAAATATTTAAAGTAGCGGTACGCTATGATGACTGTTTTGACACATTAAAGAACAGCAATTTGACGGAGGTAAATGTAGGTATTAATTAAATACAAAACTTGACGAATACAATAAATTTAAATACAATAAAATATAGTACAATAAAGGCTTCTTAAACGTAATTATTAATTAATACGAAACTTGATGAGTGGACAGGCGTCAAAACACGCATCATACTGCTGCTGCTACTTTAGTTTCAGATATCCAAAGATTGTCCATAGCCAAATAGCCACATAATCCAATAGATAGCCAATTCAAATAGATAACTCGGTCGCACAAAACTAACAGATACAAAAAGCAATCGACAAACCGAAGTAAGCGACTGACACGAAAATCACCCGACATAAGTCTCACCGAGAAATAGAAAGAGATAAAAGATAGCTGTCGTTGTTGCACCAATTGCACTTCTTTGAAGACGCCGGCGTACAGCCGCTGTTTCTTTTCCTAGCGTGGGGAAATAACGCACACCATTTCTCTCGCACTCGTGGGTCGGCGAATAGTGCCGCATTGTGTGAGCGAGACGGCAAATATCCACTCTCTCATTGGTATAGAACTACCTTTTACTATTTTAGGAGATTTTGGCTTACTAATCCATAGAAATAAAAAGAAAGATAGTCTATCTAATCGAGATAAATCGTTCATAAAATAAAATCAATTTCATGTTTAGAATGTTTTATTTATTTTCTGTTGCACTTTTAAGGGTGACCCTATCTATTCATTTGTAAGTCTCCACTATGTAAATCTAAATGCTTAATACTAAAGAATAAACTTATTACACCTAAAACGTATAAACCTTAAACAAACGCGATTTCTACCCATTTTAAATAATGTCAAATATTTTTAAGCCTTACATATAACTACCGGAATCCCGGGAATTTCGTCATATCCATACTAGTGATATCTTCTCAAATAGAACAAAAATTCCGATTTGAGATGTCTTAATAAGGTATTGTCATCTAAACTACTTCAACATACAACAATAGATACGACGATTAGCGAATATATGCGACGAAGTAGCTGAAACTTGACCACCAAGCATTGTTTACATAGTTACAAGTGTTAAAAACCATTTACAGAGTATTATTTTTATGTAAATCAAGAATCTAAAAAAAGTAATCACTAATCACATTCCATCCGTCAAACACATAGGTTCGTGTGGTGACGGATTAAGAATACCGATTGTCACCACCCCTATTCATTCCGTGGGTATCGTAAGGGGAAAAACTACGCAAAACAACTACACTGCCAGCGTGGTATATTAGGCCCAAACCTCCTTTCTAAGGAGAGGCTTGTGTCCAGAAGTGGACTATTAAGGTCTGTTGATGTACATCACATTTAAAAAACATTCCTACTAGTTTTACTCACCTAAAACTAGAAGAAATGCTTTTTTTTCTCCTTAGTTCTTGACAGCAGAACAAAAATATGTACTCTGTGGTATATCATGTCATGTTTTCGATATTTATGGTGTGTAGATAAACATTATTTAAAACCTAAAGATACAGAGTACACACACACTCAAAACAGTCTTTAAGTAAAATACTTTGCTTCTTTAAACAACATAAATGCTGCATCCACTCCGTCACATGTGATGTCAATATTCGCTAATATATGCGGTGCAACTGTTTAAATACTTATTTATTTACTTAATTATATCACACTTCATTGTACACCAAGTCAATATAATGTAACAACAAGCATAGATGGCATGGAAACAGTCCAATTTCTACCAAGTTTAACCTATTTCTTTAAAGTTTTAAATTACTGATTGTTTTTATATAATTAAATTCGTAAATTTAGAAAACGTTTACATTATTGTATCCTGGTTGCGACCTCTTTGTCTATTTATCGTTCGTTAGGACCTTTTTTTTACTTATCTATGTCTATCTGAATCTATCAATACGACATCAATAAAATCACATCATATTATTACATCAACAGCCTTTACTAGTCTACTGCTGTGCCTCTCCTTAGAAAGGAGGTGTTGGCTAGTAGGCCACGTAGACCACGCTGACCAGACAGGTTGGGTATAGGGTTTGTTTCAAGTTTTCCTTCTCTCTGCAGTTCTGTTGTATTGCACGGCGGATGAGGGAGAGCTACTACTAAGCAAACTTGCTTAGTAGTAGCTCTCCCTCATCCGCCATACTCACCACTTGCACCTACCGACTATTACTTTTTCCAAAATTTAGACAACTTTTTAGTGGGTAAAAAATTCAATCCCCGAGAGGCAGTACAAAATGCCTTTGAAGAGTTTGTTGCCTCCCGTCCAGCTGATTTTTACAAGAATCCAATACAATACAATAAACTGCCAATGCGTTGGCAAAGATGCGTCGATTGCATGGGTGATTACTTCGAATAACAGAAATAAAAAAGTTTGAAAAATAAGTACTTTCACTTATTGCATACAAAACGGCAATTTCATAGGTAAAGACCTATTATATATTCTTATTTCCATTATTTTGTGAACATTTTCGGAACCCAGAATACATTTCAAGACCTTATGTCTGACGTTATTTTCGATAGAATTTAAAATATGTTAATAAATCTTAAATAGACGCATCTTCTGTATACAGGATTACATTCTACTGACGACCAACCTTAGCTATTGTTCTATATCTAAGTCGCACTAAATAGATTCACCACGCTACTTAAACTGAACTAATTTCATCTGGGGTCAGAGAGTATCGCGTGTCCTTACACTGAAACCTCGCGTAATCTAGATTTAGTGCACCACTGCACTTAATCAAATTGTTTTGCTGATTGCCGTCTTATCATTCAAGAGCATTCCGGTCATCATAATATATTGTATATATCAATCATATCACAGTTACCGAAATTTCTATGTATAATATGTATGTATTTACAACAAAAAAAGTATATATGTATTTATATCAGTTGTCTAGTACCCATAGTACAAGCTCTGCTTAGTTTGGGACTAGACGGCGTTCTGTGAATGTGGTAGATTATTATTATTATTTAACTGTAAAAGTAAATTGCAATTTTCATTTGGTCATTGTTCCACATCAGTCTTGTACTTCGTGAAATACCTGCATGTCACTTTATTTATTGATACATCATGCGCATTTGGTGCATAGGCGGACTTAATGCTTGTAATTACATTTAAAATTATACATTATTTGAATGGCCTAGTGATCATTGATCCTAACTGCTGAGCCAGGGTTTGATTTCAGCCCAGGAACAGTAATTGTGTGATGGGCACGATCATTTGTGTCTGTCTAGATGTAACTTATCTATTGCTTAGCTGGTGCCCGCGACTTCGTTTGCGTGGACTTAAAAAGCGCTGCCTTAGTGGATTTGATTCCCGGACCGAGCAAAACTTAAAGGGTTTTTCTGAGAGCTAAAATAGCCTAAGTTACTCCTTGTATAAGCTATCTGGTAGTCAAATATTATCCAAATCGGTCTAGCCGTTTTGAAGATTACCAGGAAAAGACAAACATACAAATAATCATTAAACTGGTTTTAAGGCACAGATATCTAGCAAATAACAGTGATAGCATGAAAAAAAACCTATTCTTTTGACATTACAAACACACACAGTGTCTCTGTAGGCTTACACCAGGGATCGGCTCTGAGCCTATACCACTTCTTATTGATAATGGATGCTCTGACATCGGACATACAGGAGGAGGCACCTTGGTGCATGCTATTTGCAGATGACATTGTATTGGTCGGTGGAGATGGGGTGAGGTCCAGAGCAGAGTGGAAAAATAGTAACAAAGGCAGGAGAATGTTGGCTTGAAAATCAGCAGAACTAAAACTGAGTTCATGTTGAGTTGGGATAGCGATAACAGTCTGCTCCAAATTAAGGTACCTCCCTCTTACAATTTGATGTAGAGATTGATCGAACTGTACAGCATCAAATCAATACGGGATGGATGAAGGGGCGACAGGTAACGTGAACAATTTGTGACCTCAGTTTCCCCTTAAAG